CAAACACACCAACATTACATGTGAGGGCAGAAAATTAGAAGTGTATTTATTTAGGATAAATTTGTAACATTTATTTAGAAGAAAGTGTTGGGCCTTGCCCTGTCCACACCTTGTGTGGCCTCCTCTGGATCTGACGAGAGATGTAGGTGGTCTGCCCCTTCTCAGACAATCCAGTTAGCTCCCACAAATCTGATAGGAGTCAGGGTATGTCCCAGTGCTGTGGGAGCATGAATCCTAGCCCAGGGTTTAATATTCATGCTGTCTCTCTAGAACTGAGTTTCTCAACTTAACAGGGAGGACATGCAACTCTGCCATAGAGAAGGTATTATTGTGTGTCCTTTCTGCCCTTCCACCATGAAGCCAGGCTGACTGCCATTCCCTGTGCTTCCAGTGGCCAATGAAAGCAGACTCTGCACAGCTCAGCTCCATTGTGGAAGTCACCCAGAACCTTCCTCGTCTCCTCACTCCCAACACCTTCTAGTCTGCTTCTGTCTAACTCCTGCCTCAGATTTGTGTTCCAGATTTTGATTCCTATCCTGCCCCTTTGGTCTTCACAACTTATCTTTGTTTCATCTGTTGAACCAAAGAACTCCCTAAGAGTTTTTCCTCACATACTCCCCACCTCCTTCCCCAGACCACTGTGTTCCCCTTGTTCATGCTCTAGCCCCACTCAGAACACAGATCCTGACATTAATTCATTTGGCTGCTTCCCCAGATATATCTATCCCCGGTCCCTGAAGATAGAGTGTTGGGCATTATAAGCAGAGAGGAAGGATGGAGGTTCATCTTGAAAGGAACAGGGGTGGGTTACAGACAGAAAGGCAAATTCCCATGAGATGAAAAGTCATCAGTCACCACATGTAACAAGATGGAGGAATTTCTGTACAGATTCATGGAGGTGAGAAATAAATGGGTCCCATAATTTACCATCTTGCCCCATTAGCTGGCTTAGTTGGCTTCATCTATATTTAGTGCTGGCTGGAGAACTTTCAAGAAGAATTTACAGCACCTCTTATTTTGTTCATCTGTCTTCCCATCCAGGGAAGAAACAATTTGTACCTTGCTTGTATCATCACCTAAAATAGATCATTGACTCTTTTTATTAATAAAACTTGCATTTCCTTTCCCCATGCACAGTCTAGACAGCAAAGAAGGGGAACCCAGAGCTAGGCAAAAAGAGCTGCTGAGAGGATTTCAGTGATCTGCTGGGCTCCCCCCTCGTGTTCCTTCCCCTCCAAATCCCCACCTTTTCTCCTCCACCTCCATTTGCTTGCTAGTTCAGTTATGATTGTTCTCTGCCACCTTCCAGATTGGATTTAAGACAGCTAAAAACAAAAAGCACACACAATAGCACAATTTCAAATAAAGATTAAAAACGGCATCAGAAACTATTAGCTGGAAGGTGAGGGAAACACAATGGAACTGGAAACTTGGGAAGAAAACGATAATGCACAATAAGCAATTCTCTATTTGGGTCCTGTTGTCACTGATGATAAAGACGGAGTAAGGGCAGTACAGTGACTCTTAGTAGGTGACTGGTTTTCCCATGGTAATTGAGCATTTCCTAGTGCCAAGCTCTGTTCAGGACACAGAGATGCCTAATGGTTTTTAATCCCCATGCTCAAGGTGCTCACAATCGAATCTGTTCCCATTATAACCTTATGTACAGAGAATAGGCATAGGTTTCTATGTGTCTGCTCCCCCCACAGCTTGTTCTATGCTGTGTCTCAGGCCTCATGGAGGTGGTGAAACCTACCAAAAATTATGACCAGGGATGTATGTCTAAGCCAAAGACAGCCATACAGGCACTGGACTCAAGGGAGGTCAAATATTCCTGAGGACACTTGATGTGAGCTTGCCTATTGTATTTCCTCTGGATAACGTGGGGCCACACCAATTTTGGCAGATGATGTTTTCCAAAATGTCTGTAGCATATCTTTTATCCCACTTGCTCTTGACACTGCTAGTAGTGCTTATGTCCTCTCCCCCTTGAACTTTCTGACTGCTTCAAATGACAGAGGATGGCAGAAGTGATGATATGTGACTTCTGAGTCTAGCTTATAAAAATGCCGTGTCCTTCCACTTCGTTCTCTTGGGATATTTGCTCTTGAAACCCAGCTACCATACTGTGTGACAGCTATGGAGAGGACTTTGTGGTAGGAACCAAGGCCCCTGGCCCACAGACCTGGCTGGGTTCCAGTCAAACAACGGGCATCAGCTTGCCAGCCATGGGGGTGAGCCATGTGAAGGCGGGTCCCCTAGCCCCAGTTCAGTCGCCCAGCTGATGCCATGTGGAACAGGGATGAGCTATTCCCAATGAGTCCCACCCAAATTGCAGACTCATGGGCAAAACAAATGACTGTTGCTGGTTTAAGCTACTAAGTTTTTTGGTTCTCTTTTTGTTGTTGTTTTGGTTTGGTTTGGTTTGGTTTGGTTTGGTTTTGGTTTTGGTTTTGGTTTCAGCTACTAAGTTTTAAGTAGTTAGGCAGCAACGCATGGACCAAATGCCAATTCAATCAGATTTTTCTCTCTTGCCAAGTATGAATGCTTCCAGAGGTGGGACTCTTGAGCTCAGGGAAAACCTCAAACAATGCTGCTTTTCCTCTTCCACACAAGTGCTATGTACCTGCCAGGGTTGGCTGTTCTGAAAGCACAGTGATTATGGCTGTTGAAGAGGTGATCTTTCAAGCAACTCTACATTCTCACGTGCTCGCACTAACCACCTGTATTTGAGAGTACCTGGGCATACCTCTCTATTGCAACCTTAAAGAGGACAACCACTATCCTGTTGACTTCAGCTCCAGTAAGTGGGATTTTATTTTTTCACTCAGTGAGCAAATCCTTACCAGTACCTAGGTCCAAAAACTAGGTTTTTCCCCTTATCCCCCCTATTCCAAGCCCTGGCTTCTTTTTCTCAGCATGATATACCATTCCCCCTGGCACTGGGTGCGGTCCTTCCTTCCCCACCAGCCCGCAGCTTCCGTTACTTCTCGTCTGATCATGCCCACCGATGGGCCTCCTTGACAATGACTGACTCCCTCTTAAACATTCTCCTACTGTTTATTACTGGGCAGGCGGTTCAGTGTAGTAGTTTAAAGCACGTGCTCTGGAGTTGGGAAGACATGGGACAAGATCATGAGTTCTCTAACCCGATCTTAAAAGTATATGGTGAGGATTAAAATGAGATGATACATAATAAGTGCTTAACCCCTATGGCCCGGATTGCTACCTCTTCGGATACCCAATATTCTCTCAGTGCTTTGGGTAGCAGAACCTTATTGTTGGATGAGCTAATGTGCCAACCCCGGAGACCACTGTTCCCTGCTGCCTGGCAGATAGGCTGGCTAATGAGATGTAGGCCTAGTTGTTTCAATGCACTGGCAGGAAAGTTCTTTCAAGTGGCTCCCCCCTGCTCTGGTTCCCTTTCTCTCCTCCTTGCGAACGTGATGCTGGAGCATTTGCTTCCTATGGCCACCTGGAGGACGGGAGCTTTGCCCCATGGAGCGGAGAGGGTCAGAAGGACCCAGGTCCCAGGTGACCATGGAGTTACCACACCAGCTTACCTCTGTACTCTTTCATGTATGAGAAGAAAAGCTCTTGCTTAAAACAATTGTGTTTTGTGTGTCTACTATTAGAAGCTGAACTTAATTCCTAGCTGATACACACAATAGATGCTAGTTACAGTTAGTATTATTGTTCTCTCTCAGTCTCATTTCCCTAATGCTGTGAGACCGCCTGCTTTTTGGGTTCAAGCTGTCTCGGGGCTGATCTGTCCCATCACTTCAGTCCCTTAGTCATTCTGGTTGAAATAGGAAGGAAATAGCCCTGCCACAGACTCTAGGGGTATAACAGTGCCATAAGTGACCAGGTTTTACTTTAACCTGGAGGGGGGATCTTTCTGCTCATTGTTTGTCAATGTGCTGACTAGTTTTTGTGACCTGCAAGAATGCATTCTTATTCAAAGGTGTCTTCATACGATCTGTATGTGGTGAACCTGCCTGTCAGCCTTGCTCTAACTTTTATAATGTCAATGTGTAGAAAATGAAATTAGAATTAAAGGCACAAAGAAAAGTGAGTAATCAGGACAAAGAGAAGGCTTCAGCCCTGAGATTTTTCTATTTTTACTAAAAATACTTCTAAAAATTACATTCCATAGACAATTAAAATTTCATTTCTCAATTTAAAAATATTTTGCAAAGAAAAAAAGACAAGAATGTGTTATAATATCTTTTAGATATGTAGAAAATCCAATTAATTTTTAGGGTAGATAATTTTGTATAAAGCAGTTTCAATCCTATAAGAACTTTTAAAATTGGCATTGCTTCATTTATTTAAAAAGGTATATGGATCAAAAGAGCATAATTATCAAAGGTAACAATCCTTCTTTTTCATAGTCACAGAAGTTAAATTAAAAGAATTTTCCTTTAAAAGATGTTTAATTCACCCCTTTGCAACAACATTTTTAGTAAACAAATACCTTACCTTCAAATAAACATTTATTTTAAATGTTAATATACATTAATTACATAGAAACTAAAGTCAAAGATATTCTTTACTCCTATCTTACAGTGCTTTATTTTTCAATGAAATTTAGAAATGCTTTTAAGTCGATCACTGCTGATTGAACAATATAGCATACAAACTGGTATGGACTCACTCATTTTTTTTTTATAAAAAATCATGCAGCTGAGAATAGAGCAATTTATACATATACACATGTATATCTGATATTTCTAAGGCCATAAGCTGTAAAGGAAAAATATTATTATATATATGATTCTCAGCATACAAGGCAAGAGAAAAAACCCTAAAACCTTTAATCAGTCTTAAAACTTTAGTAGTTGTGGGGCGCCTGGATGGCTCAGTTGGTTGAGCCACCAACTTTTGATTTCAGCTCACGTCGTGATCTCAGGGTTCTGAGGTCAAACCCCATGCTGGGCTCCCTGCTGGGCGTGGAGCCTGCTTGGGATTCTCTCTCTCCCTCTCCCTCCGCCCCTCCCCTCTCCCCTTCCTCTCTGAAAACGAAAAGAAAAACAAAAAAAACAACTTGAGTAGTTCTGCAAATCAGTTCTTAATTAGTAGTGATGGGGCCCTTTCTCACATGAGGCTTCCAAGGTAGAATTTCTACATTGGAAGGTAGAATTTCTACAACATCTGATGATCTTACTGACCTTCTGAGGAAATACTTCACACTGCTTGAAAAATGAGAGCATCTAATAAAGTAGTTTTTTACATTATTTTCACTTAACTTTAAAAACAAGATGCATACATGCTAAATTACTAACGACCTACCAGATTATTTTTTTAACTTGTTGGCAAACCACATTATCTGCTCTTTCTGAAAGCTGACATTTATTAAACACAAAGAGTTTCCCTAAGTTCTTGATGTTATTTACAATTTCAGGGGTTTCACCTAAGTCAGAGTAATATGGTGATTACTCACCACTGATATTTACACTGAAAAAAATGTTGCTTACTATTTGTAGTTTCTATGTATCATTCATTTAATTCTTGCCATGCAGACCAAAGAAGTGAAAAATGTGAAGAATATGCTTTTTGTAAAAGGTCCAATTACTTATTTATAAAGTACCAAAGGCCAGAGATGATACTGTGATGGGAAGTGAGGAACATGATTACCTGAGCCCTCTACACCTGAAGTCCAACTGAAGAGAATCCATTCACCTTTGGTTGCCTTAAACAGTTCAGTGTTGTATTTCTAAACTTGTACAGCACTGAAATTAAAGTCTTCATGTTACTGGATGTACTTTGGTTTAGAAATTTAACTTCTTAAAATATTTCAAAAAGAGCTTAGAGTATCTATAGAATCGATTTTAAAAAGTTTTATTTTATATAACTGTATGGATCACTATTCTGTGAATATGACATGTTTTTTAGAAAAGGTAATAGGGCAAAACCCAAAAGAAACCAAAAAACCCCACTGCGTATCTACAAATAGCCACCCCCAAAAGGACTAAGAGGAAAATAAAATTTTGGTATCAGATGGGAGAGTTCCAAGGTAATATCAAAGAGCTGCTCAGACAAACAAACAAATTTAGGCAATTCATTGTTTGGATTATAATAATTAATAACCACTTTGACTAATTCCAGTCCACACTATTACATAGTGACTCCCCTGGTTACTTTAAGATTGAAGAAATGTAATCTATGAGTGAAGCTACTCTGGCCTTCCTGTTGAACCTATTAAGTGGAACCCCAGGATTCATCCTGAGTATCTTCTGAGTGTAAAAACATAGCATGGGTAAATTTAGCATAAAGTTTCAACGTTTTCCCCACAATGGGAATTTCAGCAGTGTCTTCCTAATATGTAACTGTGTCTTATCACTCCAGTACATTCAGAACTCGTATGAATTCTGACAGAAATTGAAACTAAAGTCTATATTTTCTGTTTACTCATGATAGGGGCCTCCTTCCAGAGATGGTGCGAATTGATATTTTAAACAACCAAAATTTAAAAATAGACAAAAGTATTTTTAAAGCATCCATTTACATTGTTAGAGGCATTTGCCTCCCCCCACCCTCCACCATGGATATGAAGTTTGATCCATGCTGTATTCCTGTGTTTGGATACCAGTGAGCTCCCCGGAAGGAGGAGTCACATTACTGAGTTAAGAGTAACAGGTTGATATTCTTACATATTTATTAAAACAAGTTTCCTGAGAAGTTTGACTCAACAATATTGTTAACCTGGTTTGCTTAAAATGTACAAAAAATGCAGTGACACTTACATATCTTTAAAATATTCTGAAGTCAGATTTTGTTCTGATTGGCTACCCAATTAAGAGAAAATTAGTTAGATGTTTACAAACAATAATCTGAAACATAAAATTAACTTTTAGTTTAAAAGCAAGTCTTAAAATTATCATAAATATATGATACCTATTGACTGAACAGTAATACAAGATATAGGGTGCTAGGATTGACCCTTCACTGCTTTGGTTCATATATCTTGCCAGAAAAAACTACCTTTAAAAAAATGCTTTCTATACTGTGCAGTTATAGAGGTTAGTACATTTTTCAGACATAAATTGAATGACATGCTGCTGAAACTTGCTTCTTCTGGAATTTGACATGATTTTAAATACTGAATGAGAATATTTTTATCGTATCATAAAATATTGTTTCATCAAAATAAGATTCCAAGACCCCTTCTAGGTCTCTAAACTTCTAAAGTCACAGTATTTGATAGTCTTGGATAAAATTTACAAGCCTCAGTATTCACCAAAAATCTTGGATACCTGGGGAGAGAAAGAAGCAATCTGAGACTCTCCTGAGAGTCAAAATGTTGAGAAGAAACAAAGTAACAAAACAGGCAGAAAAGATGATTCAGAAAATGGCAATTTTGGCATAAATATCTGGGAGTCACTGTGGACCACAAGTGGAATATGAATGTGCAGAACAGAAGTGAAAACAAAAATGTCATATTAGGATGTGCTAAGGAGACTATGACAGACAAATCTGTTGCAATTATATACCACGAACACTCTTTTACCAAAGCTCTATGAGGTCTCAGGATAGCAGGACAGCAGTGGTTAAACACAACCAGATAGTTTTCTTTCATTGTGTGGAAAGATCTCCCTGGCTTTGGAACTCCACCTTTAAAACTGTGGGCACAGTTCAGAAGGCGAGTATGCCAGAAGGATCCAAAAGGGAGGAGAAGGGCAGTTTTTGTTACATATTAAGGCAGCCTTTCAAGACCCCAAATTCAGCAGCAAATGTTTGGTGAATCTCATCTCCCCTCAGTTTATATGTAGAGAGGAAAATAAATAAAGTTTTCATTATTTACTTCTTTCCTGGAATAAAATATCAGCCGTTGTAGAAGACCTGAGGACTCCCAATGTACTAGATTGCTTTAAAGGTCGGGAGTAGAAAATTCAGGATGAAATGAGGATTGATTTTACGTGAATGGGAATGATAAGCAGGCCCTTCTGCACTCTGCACCATTGCTTCTTGTAAAGGGTGTCACCAAATACGGCAGAGAATGTCCTCTCTGATGGACTGATAGTGGCCTCCTGGAGAGCTGCGTTGAGAAGGACGCAAGGCTTGTCCCAGCTTGACAGGAAAGTGCACTGAGTGAAATCTGCTACACACGCAGGTGTTTCCTATTCCTATTCTGTTTGTTTCAAATGACTGTAAAGATCTCAGAAACATAGAAGGTTGACAGCCGATCCCCCTGTGCACATGTCCTATTCACATACCATGGGTAAGGGAGGTGTGGTGAGAGCAAGAATGAGCTTTGGGAAATGTGAACAAGCAGGTGATTTTAGCTGAGAAGGAAATCACTTTGCTCTCTCATTGAAGATTCCTGTTCCTCCGAGAAGGTCCCAAGGGGTCTGGCCAACTCAGAGTCCACAAGGCACCAAAGAGCATCTCCTTGGGCCGGTGGACTCTCTCAGTATACCTCCTGGGCAGGTAGATGAGCTTACCGAGCCCCTGGGATGACGTGTAGGATGAAACACTCGCTTTGTTTTCTGTCTTTTCCATGATGTAACTCGCCTGGAGGAAAGTTCCTGCCGAATGCAGATGACCTATCAGAGGACTTGACTAATCAGAGGAAATTATCCAGAGCTAATTAGGTAATAAGGTGGCCCCGAAGGAAGCCATATATGAAACAGCTTCCTGATTTAAACTCCAAGGAATGAAGCAGAAAGATAACAAAGACCTAGAGAGCTGGCCAGAATGAATACAGGCAGCATAAAGGTTGGCCCAGAGGAGGGAAGTGGCCCTGATGAGAGGTGAAAACCACGTGGCTCCTCCTTTTCTCAGAGGCCACCCTGGACGGCAGCCAAGCCTCTTCCTGGTGCTTCTCAATCGTGCATTCTTCCAAGGACAGGTGATGCCATCATTAGGAAGAGTGGGCGTTGGAAGAAACAGCAAAAGGTTCTTGTGTCTATGTTGATTTGAAATTAATTAAATTCGCATCCTCTTCATCCTCTGTTGGCAGGCTCGGCGGGCTCCCTCCCGGGCCGCTTCTCTTGGAAAACATTAGCACCATTCAGCTTCAGGATTCATTGTCACTGTAAAAAACAGAACAATCGTGTATTTCCAAGAAGCTACCGAGAGCTGGTCACTCCACTATGGAGGTGACTCAAGAAAACATAAACAGTCAGGAAGCCCAGAGTGTCCAGCTTACGATTTCTGAAACAAAGGTTGGTTTGGAATTTATATTTGATCCCTGAGGAGGAAATCCATGAAAGCCAAGAAATAATCCCTAGCTCTTGCTCTAATATCCCTCCCTAGTGCTGATGTGGAGAAGACCAGATGGAGTTGGGGGTTCCCCTCTTTAATTAAATCTAATCCCATTCTCTATGAATCGATGCCAAATTGCTTTTTTTTACAAAAATTTCCATGTGTTGTTTTTTTCTCAGGACTTTGTGGTCCTGGCGTGTTTTCAAAAGCGCAATTTGCTCATATCCACAAAGGATCTGGAGGCGCCTTCTCGCTGTCATTTAGAATCCAATCATTAGGCACCTCGGGGTGTGAGGAGACATAGATCATGGGCATGGGATTGGGACATGACTGCGCTGGCTGGCTAACTTGTGCTTTTGTTCCTAACTTGGCTATCTTGGCCACATATCTGGCTCTGCAGCTTTTCCCCAGTGAGGCTGTGCCTCCACCCCCATCTCCTGGGAAGCAGGCCACTCTACCTCTCCTCCCACTTCTTCTTTCAGTTTTGTGCCCCATCGCTCAAGTTCCAGAACATCCCTACTCGAAGTGACCTTTGTCTCCAAGAAAGGGCCTGAATGATAATAACCAACAGAACCTCGTATCTCCTTCGCTCACAGGCGTGGATAGTCTGCAACCGACTAGATTCTTCTGACTCCTATTTCAGAGCTCTCCTGCTCAGGGAAACAGCATGTGTTTCCAAAAAGACTGAAGCAATCTGATAGATAAATAGATCTATCCATGGAAGGAGAGGGGAGACACTGTGTGTCCGGTTATGTGTTTGTGTTTGTGTCGTGAAGACGGAGGGAAGAAGCTGTGATTAAGGATGGGCAATCGATGGGAAAAGAGGAGGCGGACAGTTGTGAATAAAAGACAACTTCCGTGGCAAAACTTATTTGAAATGGAAAGCTGATGGAAGGAAAATTAAGACATTTTTCAGCCAAAGAGCAGATGTAACCACCCCTTCACTTCAGTGACCCTGAACTACTCTTAAACTGGGCAAGAAGTTTCCATTTCCTGGAAATTGGGTGGTAGCAGGATATTATTTCTAAGATCTAGGAGTTCATCTCTATAGCACATAAGTCTCTTTCCTTCTGCGGCCTTACCTTGAGATTTCAGCCACCCTAAGCAGAATATAACACAAAGCTGGATAGCTACGGGCGCAAGCCCTCTTTTGTCTACAGCACTGATCTGCATCCAGCTGTCCGAATAGAAGTGATTTTTTAAAGTATTATAAAACCAATCCGTAGTCTTTGTTGAAAAAATAAATACAAATAAGCAAAACAAAAATACTAACAATCTTACCACAGTTAATATCTTGGTGTGTACTCTTCCCAACTTCCTTCTTTTGATGATGATATACATTTTTTTTTTGGTACAAAAATGGGATCATATGATGCATTTCATGCTGTAATCTGCTTTTCTCACCTTCATTCACATACAGACATCATTCCTTGCTAATAAATATACCATATCTTTTTAGTGGCTACAGAGACTTCCATTGTGTCACCAGACCAAAAACCATTTTTTTAAACTATATCCTTATGGTTAAACATGTAGACTATTTCTGATTTTTAGTTTTTATTTAGTATTAAAAAATCTTTGCACACTTCCAATTGTTACCTTTGCCTAAACATACCTAGAAGAGAAATTGCCAGGTTAAAATGTATGCCATTTTAAAGCTTGAACAGCCCATTGTCAAATTACCCCCTTCCCTAGACATTTTGCACAGTTTACCTTCCTCCCCACACTTTCTTTAGGGAGATTTCCTTTCCCCACATCCTTTCCAATACTGGATAGTATTATTCTTGTTTTTTATTGATCCAATAGGTGAAAATAGTATCATATTTACCTTTACTTTTTAATGATTTCTAAGAGAAGTAAACATTTTTTTAAAGCTCTATTGGTAATTTTGACTTCTTCTTTTGCTAAATTCCTTATTGATAATTTTTACTCATATTTAAAATGGGACTATTATCTTTTTATTGGTTCATGTATTAAGAATGATAATTTTTGTTCATTATATATATATTTTGCAAATGCTTTTCCCCAGTTTTCCTCTCCCTTCTGATTCTATTTATTGTGTTTTTTGACGTACAGAAATTTTGAGTTTTTAATGTAGCTCAAATCTATGCTTCTTTTAAAAAGATTTGTTTATTTATTTTAGAGAGTGAGAGAGTGTGCGAGTGGGGGGGGCGGGGCAGATGGAAAGGGAGAGAGAGACTCTCTAGCAGACTCCCCGCTGAGCATGGAGCCCCGCGTGGGGCTCCATCCCACAACCCTGAGATCAAGACCTGAGCCAAAATCAAGAGCTGGATGCTTAACCGACTGAGCCACCCGGGCACCTGTACATCTGTGCTTTTCTGATACGGTTTTTAACTTGTGTGGCATGCTTTCGACCCATCCCCACCTTAAAGTTATAATAATATTTATCTACATTTTTTCTGGACTTTTTTTCTTTTTTCAACATTTAAACTTATTTGGAGTCTATTTTAATCTAAAGCATGCGACAGCTCTAAATTTTAATCATTACAATGTGGAGTCTTCCAGGAGTACAGTATGTCTCTGTCTATTTTTAAGAATCTTTTATGTCCCTCCGTAAAACTGAACACTTTCTTTTTACGTTACGCCATGCATTTTTTTGGTTAAGTTTATGCCTCAGTATTTCGCGGCTCGCGTTGCGTTTATGGTCGTGCACATGCTAGTATGTGCTACCAGAGGCTCTTCTACATGGTAGGTAAGAGCACAGTGTCAGATGGCCAGAGCTTGAATCAGGGCTCAGCCACTTCCTTGCTGGGTGACCTTGGGCAAGGGCACCTTTCTTGGCCTAAGTTTTCCGCCTTCCTCCCACCCGCAAAACATACATAACAATGCCATGCACTTTATAGGGTTGCTGTAAAGAATAAGTGAGGGGCGCCTGGGTGGCTCAGTTGGTTAAGCGGCTGCCTTCGGCTCAGGTCATGATCCCAGGGTCCTGGGATCGAGTCCCACGTCGGGCTCCCTGCTCCTCAGAAAGCCTGCTTCTCCCTCTCCCTCCCCCTGCCGCTCCCCTTCCTTGTGCTCTCTCTCTCTCCGTCAAATAAATAAATAAAATCTTAAAAAAAAAAAAAAAAAAAAGAACGAGTCATGCTACCGGCCTGACATACAAACCCATGACCGTAGGTTCTTCTGATTTTGCAGATTCTATGCAAGCAAATGTTTGTTGGCTCAACACAAGCTTCAAGACGGCTTCAAACATCCAAAAGCTTTCAGAAACCATCTTCCAAAAACACGCTTTCCATTTCCGAGGAGAAAGTACTTACAGGGGGTCCGTGGAGAACACCCTACGAGCATTTGGAAGGCTCACCAACCCAAACTGTTCCCTGCGGGCACCAAAGAGCCCGGGAGCTCACAGGCGGCACTCACGGCTCCGCTCAGCGCTGGGATCGGTGAGCAGGGCCCGGGGCCTGCCACACAAGACGCTCCCAAAGCAGACCCCAGTTGCTGCAGCTGTGGGGCACCGGGTCATGCCTAGTGTCGCAACTCTCACCTGCCCGTTTTCCCTGGGAGGAAGTCCGTGCCCCGGGATCTGGCCCCCACCTGATCCTGGAGGCATTCTCTTTCGCTCACACATCCCTTCATTTAGTTAGACGTGTTCCCTGCTGTCATCTCTGCGAACTGATCAAGGAAGCCCGGGCGTGTTTAACGCTGGCAAATCCTAGAGTTTCCAGTGAAAAATACCTTGGCAAACTGCCCCACGATTGCAACAAATAAACTCAGGGGTCCTGCCTCAAACCTCTGTGCCTGCCTCCATGTTAATTCTGGCGGCTCCGGCGTCTGGCCGGTGACAGTGGCATTGGCCAGCAATTTTTCTCCAAGTGTTCCAGAGATATTTTAAGCATGTGGGACAGCTTCCCCAAAAGCTTTTATAGTGACAGGCCTACAAACTGTAAAAACAAATTGAACTGATGACAAAGCATCATCTTACGATTTTTAAGAAAGTGTTCAATTGGAACGCCAGCAGCGAGACGAGGACAGAGGCCACTCTGAACACCTCGTTTCCTAACTGCCTCCGGGTCGCAGGCGGGAGCAGATCAGCCTTGTTTGGTCTCCTGACCGGTTTATCTTCTAGCGCTCCCTCCGTGTGACCACGGCCAATGTTTGCTAGCTCCGAAGATGGCAATAAGCCTGAATCAAACCTTTCTCGTGTCATGATGCTCCGTAACTTGGGGCAACGCAGAGCTCAGTATAGCACAAAGTCACGTAACAATTCGATCACGCTCCCTTTCTCTTCATCAGTATAACCTCCCTTCTCCTTCCCGAAAGGGGCCTGGCCCCCGCGGGGGGAATTATAGAGGTCACACATCTGGCTAACATCACAGCCGGGCCTAAAATTCATCCAACACACATAGATCATGCCCACGGCAGACATAATCTGGGCCACTCTTCAAGCAATGCCGTGGTTTATTAAATTTAATACATCTTCCCTCAGCACCACATGCACACGCGCACGCACACATGCACGTGCACACACACACCTGCATTTCAACAATGTTATTTGAGGTTATCATCCTGCAGGATTATAAGCGGTTACTTTGTGCCCCTCATATGTTACTTTGTATCCCTCATAAAACAGAGCTCAGATTTGAGGGAAACCAGTTGCCACTCAACATACTTCCTATTGAATACTTGTTGCGTTTTAAAGGACTTTTGAGAGACTAGAAAGGAAAAAAGGAAAGAAACTCATAAAGAAAATAACCAGAAGTGGCCACAGAGATTTACTTGAGTGGAAAGGCCAAAACAGTTCACCGAACCTGCTGTTTTCTCACAATTAATGGTTCAGTCTTGTCAATGACTGCGCGAGGTGATGGATACGTCATCCACCAGATACTGTCATGTATTAGCCTCATGGTGGCTGCCTTCCTTGCTGCTGAGTGTCCCTTCTATTTTTTAATCTCTAATTTGTCTTTTAATTTGTGGAATATCTCTTATCTTAACCAATTAATGAAAGTAAATGAAAATGTAGTTTTAAAAGATACATTGAGTTTTATCATAAACTTGTTGTGTAAATTAGACAAGTCACTTAACCTCTCTGATTCCAGGTTTACTCATACAGATTATTTCATTTTAACTGGTTGAACTGGCATGATGTGGACCACGCCAGGCACATATTGGGTGTTCAGTAAATATATTTTGTAAAACTACATCAACAATCATACTTTTCAAAAAAAAAAAAAAAGACAGAGAAGAGCAGAAACAGGAAGAAATTCACAAAATTCTTTGTTAAACTAACCTGGATTTTCCTGAGAAATATTGAAGTGATCCATTTTTATGTCATTGAGCTCAGACATGAATCATAAAGTAAACAATAGAATTATTACAAAACCAGAACAGGTATGCTGTTATTTACCCCGACTAGCTAACTTCCTAGGTGATAGTACTAGGCTTCTGGTATGTATAAAATGCTGTATAAATGTCTTATTATTTTTTGTTATAAATGTGTTTTCAAAATTCTAAATCCACTTGGATGGAACCAAATCGATTTTTCCCCTTGTCTTCCCCAATGCTATTTCTCAATATAAACTCATCACTGCGGCCAATTGGCATAAAGGAAAAGAAGATGGACACTTGGCTAATATTTGCGATTCCTCTTCTGTGGTTATTCACCTAAGCTTGCAGAGACAAACACCGCACTTGCAGGAAATTGTCCAACTATAAAGGCCTCGGGAAGAAGGGACAGGCTGGCTAGACCTTAAGCACTGCGATGAAAGGGATTCTATCCTTCATGTGGGTACAACTATCTAGCAGCATTCAGGAAGGTGCTGGAAGGGTTGGGGTAGACAATAAGGGAATGCATTCTTTACCGAGAATTTAAACAATAATAAAACCAACTCAGCAGATCTGCTTTCTGTTATCACCAAGTGCTGGCAAAGTTTAACAACGCACTGATGAGATTCTCTTCACCTCCAGGGCAGACCTCTCCCCACCTCCCACTGCCCCGCCACACCCCCTGGACACTATGCCCCTAATACCACTCTTCCACCGCTACTCTCACAATGCCTCACCCGTAGCAGACAAGAATTGGGGGGAAATGCTAAGGTAGGAAATAACGTCAAATTCCCCCTCCTCCACAATTCCTTCAAGAAAGAGAATTTCCGGGGCACCTGGGTGGCTCAGTCGTTAAGCGTCTGCCTTCGGCTCAGGTCATGATCCCGGGGTCCCGGGATCGAGCCCCGCATCGGGCTCCCTGCTCGGCGGGAAGCCTGCTTCTCCCTCTCCCACTCCCCCCTGCTTGTGTTCCTGCTCTTGCTATGTCTCTCTCTGTCAAATAAATAAATAAAATCTTTAAAAAAAAAAAAAAGATAATTTCCTTATTGATTTTCTAAAAACATGAAAACCATAGTATAAACTTCCCAGAGTGCTTTGTATGTCTCTGGCCCTTATGAAAGTCCGGTGCTAAATGTTAGATTCCATAGCATAAAGGAAAATGTCCATTCCATGAGGACAGGGCAAAGTAATGAACAATGGCTGGCCAATGGGATATGCGGGAAAAGACCTGCAAGACCTGAGACTATGGACCCTAATGAGAAAAGTCTTCACACCCGGTGCAGTGCATTAAGGGCAGGGTGGTGACCAGATTGAGTCCTTTTTCCAGAAGCACATGGACTTTATATATAACAGAGGTTCCGTGTCAGGGTGTCTTTCTAGCATCAAGGAGGATTGAACCATTTAAATGGGTTCTGGAAGTCTTAATGTGGCAAGAGGATCGAGACGTGTGTTTTCTACTAAGCTCCCTCTCCAGTGACTGTTATGCACTTTCTGAAGCATTGCAGTCCCCTGCACACTACTTGAATGGTGGAGGAAGGATGAGTCGCAGACGTAAAAGCCAATGGGGAACTTTGGGGATAATGATGTGTCAACGTACGTTAGCTGATTGTAACCAATGTACCCCTCTGGTGTGGGACTCCAATAGTCTAGGAGGCTGTGCGTGTGTGGGGGTTGGGAGTATATGGGAACTCTCTGTAATTTCTGCTCATTTTGCTGTACACCTGAAACTGCTCTAAAATAGAAAGCTTTTTTTTTTTTTTAATGCCCCACCCACTAATATGGATGTGCCTGGGCCCTTGGACCCGGGCTCCTTAGCCCAAGAGGCAGTGAATTTATGTATATCAATTTTAAGTTACTACTAATAATACCAGGGATGTCTGGGTGGCTCAGTGGGTTAAGTGTCTGCCTTTGGCTCAGTTCAAGATCTTGGGGTCCTGGGATCCAGTCCCTGCCAGGCTCCTGCTCAGCGGGGAGCCCGCTTCCATCTCTGCCTGCCACTCCCCCTGCTCGTGCTCTCTCTCTCTCTTTCTCTCTGACAAATAAATAAATAAAACCTTTAAAAATAGTAATAATACCAATACTTCTTGAGAGTTTATTCTGTGGCAGGCTTTGTTCCAAGTGCTTTGTATCTTTCTGAGTTTTTAGTGACTAAAAACTAGATTTGCTTTACAATCTTGTACTGCTCTCTGAGTAATCAGAAAGTACCTATAGTACCAAAGCCTTGGGACTTGCCACTGTTGGTTCCATAAGCCGGTGCCGGCTTCACTGAGAGGGGACGGGGTGAAGCCAGACTGTCATCCTGTGAATTGAAGCCAGATTGCTCTGGACCAATGCAGGAATGTAGACATGCACCTTAAAAACAATAGTTAGCATAAAGCAGCCCTCCAAATACGTTAAGCCTTTTTGTCATACAGGCAGAAGTGAGCTCGAGCTTATTACCAAGACTAACCTTCCAATATTTCAGAAAATGTGATTTCTAAGATGCTTTCACAACCATACAATCCTCTAACATTCAGTTTCTTCTATGTTGCCAATAATTTCAAAGATCAAGAGGCAGATACATAAAAACCACGATGTTGCGCATCAGTTGAGGGTGCCGATCAGAGACACACTAACAAGGTATTTATAGGGTTTCAGTGGTGATGTGGGTGAGCCCCACACTGAACATACACAATGACTCAATTTTAGGTAAGATTAAAATGTGGAGAGAATACTCCTTTGTCATTTCCTTCGTGATACTCCCCCTAACATTTTCTTTTCTTTCGTCTGCTTGTTAATATCTGGCATCTCATTTAAATAGTATAGAATCTTTTCTGAGCCAGTGATGAAATTTTTAACATGCAGATACCTGGAGAGATAATAATGACCGAAATCTTCAATACGAAGTGAATTTCCACGTCAAAGCTGAGGATTGCCCCAGTAAGACTGTGGGGGCCTGATGTGTGAGATGTGGGGTGACCACCTCTCAGATGAGGTTGAGGGAAAGGTGCAGAATAAGGGTTCAGAAGACAAACATCTGACTGCCTCACTATCGACTATCAGTCTTCCCCTGTGATGCTCCAGCCTCAGGGACTGCCCAGTGACAAGTGATTGCATTCTGGAAACATTTAAGATGACTGGCACAGGAACTTTGGTTAACATGGAGGGAGAGAAGACGGGTGGTGTTTATCCTGCTCTGAAAGTTTCTTCTATTTATTCCCACAGAAGTGTACAGTCTCAGTCACGGGCTCAGTCACGTTCTCTGCTCCCCGATCCCCTCTGAGTCACCCCTACCAACAACTTGGCGCCCCCCAAATCACAGTGCCGCCCTGTGGGACAAGTCCCCGAGCTGCTGCATCATCAATCCTTTCTCCTGTGACACTTCTCGCGTCCTGACCAAACAATTCTCTGATCAAAAACACCCCAAACCTGGTCATTTCCATCCTCACAAAAGAGAACAACATTTAAACAAGATTATGGTGTGCTGAATAACGCCAAGCCCTAGACGCCAAAATCTTCTATCAGGCAGAGCCACCTAGTGGTAGGATGGAATATGTTTATCAAATTCTCATTTAATTTCTCTCCTAAACAAACAATCCAATCCAGGTGGGGTTTTGGGTTTTTTTGTTTTTTTTTAATATGTTCATTTTGCTCACTCTTATTTACAGTTATCCCCTTTAAGATGGCCACTTCCATCTGTTTTCCTTACCAAACATCTCTTCATCCAAGCTAAACAAACCTCTAGTTTGTTATAATCACAGTTTTATGACTAAAATGGAAGCCGACACAACAGTGTCTCTTTAGAAGCGCAAGAAAAATGCCAATACTAATCTACTTCTAAAGATGGAGTCACTAGGATATTTACTTTACATTTTCCTCTTTGCCATAACTCACACTTTCTTTTCTCCACATGACACACACATATACCCATGTAAATTGTCACATAAAATCTACAGGCACAGAGACGATAAGCAAAAGGGCTCTACTGTGGTCTCCCCTCTCCTCCCCCACACACCTCTCATCAATAGCGGAAACTAGAAGTACCTTGGGTTGTGGTTTGATTCTTTTTCTTCCTTTAAAGTAGGTAAACATTCACAGTCCGCTAGGACAGAAAAAAAGCAAACTCATTGTTAGTCACCAAAATTCTATTTTCTATCCACAAAACTCTTACATTTGAGCATCACATTTCCCTGATCTGTATGGTTACTTGTGCAGAAATGGCCTCACTAGGGAGTTCCAGAGGTTAAAAGATTAATGATGGCAAGGCTCTTGAAATGGAAAAAGCATCAGAAGCACAGATACAAGACTTCAACATGCCTCTGGCCCTGTCGGAAAGGGCACAATTCATCACTGCTTGGTTATTCAGGCCCTGAAGAACCTCACTGTTGCTCGAAAAGCTAGAACCTGCATGTTGCAGGTTAGACAGTGGAATAAAATAGCTTTACCGGAGTCCTGACGTGCCTGCAGAATGATTTCAGTCAGGATGCCCCATCAAAAAGCAGCAGGTAAAGTGAGGAACAACTAACCTTCTTAAAGTCGTCAGAGTTCCCTCCTATTATGCCCCACTTATTTTTAAGGAAAAACAAAGTCCATCGGCTCCATCACGTATGTGTCAAAATAACTGTTTGCTATGGTTGTTAAAAAGAAAGGCCTTTTTCCAGGTTTCTGGTTTAGTGAGTGTAATAGGATCCTGATTTTGTATTACAATGATCCCAGGCACAAAAGGAAATATGGCAAATGATTAAGAGAGGTTATCTTTGGGTGGTGTATTCTTTTCTTCTTTCTACTTTTTTTTTTTTTTGCATTTTCCAAATTCTATTATGTAGGTATATTTTATAAACTAAAAATAACAAAATGAAACTACCTTCAGGATTATCTCAGTGACCCGCCCCTATCCTTAAATGTTCTACAGAGCCATTCTTTCCTCCATACTGGGCTATGAAAAACGGTTCTGTTCAAAAGTATACAAGTTCATTGAATGGTTCTAATCTTCTGGAAAGCTTATGTTGATAAGTCTCTGGTACAATAATTCTAATAACAGGTCTCTGGATTTGGACTTCACTATTGTTGAATCTGACAGACCCCAGAGTATTTTTTAAAGACGAATGTGAAAAATACGAATGATATGATAATATAAATACTGGATCTTATTAATTTAATCCGAGCATTAAAATAACTTATTGACTTTTTAAACGGAACTTTAAAAAGGAAAAAAAAACAGCTAACATCATTTTTAAATCTGAACATTGATTCACTGAAAAGTAAAGAACACATACAATTACTGCCAGATATCAACAAGTTCATGGGAATATTTATAATACTACTATATTGGTGTTGTCCAATATAACTTTCTATATGATGGAAATGTTCTAGATTTGTGCTGTATAATATAGTAGTTATGAGCCGCAAGTGGCAACTGAGCACTCAAAATGTGTCTAGAGTGACTGACGAACAAAATTTTTAACTTTATTTCATTTTTTAAAATTTTAATTTAAATAGCCACATGTGGCTAGCATCTATTGTCCTGGACAGCACGGATCTATGTAAACTATATGTGGTAAAGTTTTATACCATATACAGATTAAAATCGTAGATGTCTGAATGCTACCATATATAAGGTAATGCCAGACGCTAACCTTTTCCAGATAATTTGGCCCTGAAGAGTTCCTTGTTTGAAAAAAGACCATTGGCTTCTTTAAAGAGGCCATTTGAAAAGCTTGTACAAGATTAAAAACCAAGGGCACCAAGTGATGGCCTAATCAAATGGAGTCTTTAACGATGGTCAGACCCAGGTTCACGGTCTGCATGCTCCAGATCTAATGTGGCTTGGGCTCACCCTGACACACTCCAGGATTTACGGGGTATTTCTGAAACTCTGACAGTCTTCTCATACTAGAGAAGACAGAAAAAGAACTTTAGGTGACCGTACCATTTCTATTCATGCTGTTCATCCACTTGTCAAGCTCTTCCATTTCGATTTCCATAACAGAGGGCGTGTCTTCCTCAAAAATGGGGCTAGAGAGAGAGCAAAAATCATGTTAAAACAAAAAGAAGTGTGTTGGGCAGAGTTTCCTTTTGGGAGAGGCTGGAATGCCGAGTGGGAGAAAGGTGAACTTGAGGTCGTGTGTGACACTCCAGGGCAGATGGAGGGGGGGTGGGGGTTGCCCTATTCACAGGTACCAAACTCTAAAAGGAGGAAAGGCTAGAACTAAAATAAACCTTCCTCTATCGCTGATCCAAAGACGGAGGGCACACAGCTCAAGGGGAGCCCAGGAGACCCTGACTGCCCCCCAGAAGGTACAACGTTGGGCCAACAGGCTTCCACCGTGAGGATCCTCTGGGGAGTTGCCCTGTTGAGCATTTTAGCCTTGCTTAATTTCATTTCCCTTTCTTTGAGGTTTCTGATCTGTGCCCCAGGTCAAGAGGCCACTGTGAACAGGTTGCTTTCCTCACTTCTCCTTTCAATTCCCAGGCTTTTCTGTCATGGAGAAATAGAGCCCTTGCTTTCAGAAACCCACCGCACTCACTTCTCAGGGCTCCGAGCCCACAGTTATGGGAAAGAAGCCCCTGGTTAATGTAAATGGGGTTGGGGAGGAGGACCACCAGCTCTGAACCACAGTATGGGCGTGACACCGTGGAGAGGAAGTGAGCCAAGTGTCTAAACAAGCAAGGTTGCTAGGGGGAAAGCCGGGGCGGGGGTGGTGACAGGGCCTCAGAACAATCTTCTGGTGGAATCTTGTTCTCTCTCTCTCTCCTCCCCCCTTCCCTCCCTCCCTCTCCCTATCTTTCCCCTCCTTCTCCTCCCTCCCTCTCTCTCTCCCTGCACCACCCTTCCTTCCTCTCCGCCTCCATTCCTTTTCTCCCTCCCACCCCACCATGGTTCTGCCGCATGAACTTTAGGCTTCTACCGGGGCTCTCCTCCTTTAATACCAGGGAACATATCTTTCCTGGTGATAAAATGTTTAACCAGAGTAAACGAACCGATGTCCTTGAAATACACCCAGTGTCAGAATATTGAACTACGATGCATTTGGAACTGGTAGTAGTCAAAAAGATTTAGTTTTTTCTGAAGAGGACCCTGTTCTTCACCCAGACTCCCCACTGAATTGAGGTTGGGGGCCTAGCGAGCATCCCCGTAGGCTGCTCAGGGCCCTCTCCCAGGGCCTAGGAAGCAAGAGGCCCCTCAAGGGTCCCTCAAGGGTGTCAGAACAAAAACCCATAAAAAGCAGATGGCTTTCTAATCTGCTCCTCTCCCTGATATCCTTGTCCTCACTGAGCTGGGTCAGAGGTAGTGGGGACTTACACTTTGTTGTTTTCACTTCCCAGTTCACCTAAAGAGAAAAAAAAATAAAGGCCATGTTAGCTTTCACTGTCCATAACAACTTTTTATTTCAACAACAGCTGAAATCTCCTTTACAAACACAAGAGATGACTTCAAATCGCATTTTTAAGGGAGCAATAATTAACCTTAATCTGGTGTTAATTGAGGTCTTAATCTCAGGTAAGGTCTAATTGAGGTACAACGCAGATTAAATTCACACCCGGTTTTGGACTTCGTAATATCGTAAAACCGAAGCTCTGAGGAAACCTGCTCTGTGTTGCTGTGGTTGAGGTGAGAACCAGGTAACAGACTGTCAAATGCCCATCAGACTCCAGATGAACGTGTGGCAAGAATCAAGGCGCATTGCCCCAGCTCCAGCTCTGTTTTGTTTGGCAGGGGAACCAATGCATCCAGAGAAAGAGGCAGTCATGTCACGTGAGTGGATAACATAGGCCCCCAGCACCTTCTATGATGTGAAAACCATCAAGGAGCAAACCACTTTGCAGAGGTCCACCGAATAGTCAAATGTTCCCGATCCTTGGCAAGCAGAGGTCTCTTTTCCCCAGGCCTGCAGAAATGCAGGTCCCCATCGAGGAAACACAGCCAGCAGGCACCGAGAACTGAGCTTCTGGAAGCTGGGAGCTGTTGTCATTTCCTGAGGGTTGGCAAGCTCTCACGGCCTTGATGATTCAGGAAAGCTAGGCACAGATGGAAGTTTCGTGCCATTACTGTCTACCTCCCAGGGCCTCTGGGTTATGTCTTTCTGGCCCCTGGTAGGAATCTGAAGCTCCCTGCAGGTGCCTGACCCTCAGACACTTGGACTGGGGAAAGGGGAGTATATTCATTTTATATTTTTTATATAATTTCAATCTCAAATTGACATGCTATTTCCTTAAGGGGTTTTACTATAAATAAAGTCCCTACACATTGAGTCTCCCCTACAGGTGACCCATAAAGATCCCCCTGTTTTGTCACTTCCCCCCCTTTTCCTCCCCCTCTTTTCCTGCTTAGTAACACCCTCCCCACACACACACCCACACTAATTTCTCAGAGAACAAGTGGCCCCACAGCCCCACCGTAGAAGGCATGGATTTATCTTTATAATTTGAGTGCCCGCAGGCTTTGTGGAGAGCAAAAGCTAACCCTGCATGCAGATGATGGAAAAGTTTAAAAACCCATTACAAAAGTGCTCCAGATGCACCAAATGCGAAGCTCCTGTAATCAGTATTCAAACAGAGCAAAAAGCCTTCTGTGGCCTCGTCTCTCCTGCTCCGAGACCATTACCCTGGCCCAGCCACCATGGCAACAGAAAAACATCTGGGAGAGCTCACCAGAGCCGAGCATTAAGCCAGGAGGGAGACCAATTACATGTCCCCAGCAATCAGGCCCTGCCCGCACCTCTCCACCTGGCCTCTATCTCTTTATTAATAGCCATCTACTCCCTTTGCAACCGGAGGGCAAATGTACCTCTTACACTACCCCCCACCTGCACTTGATTCCATTTTCCCTCCTACAGTCCTTCCATGTCATACCCTCCTCCCCACTTTGTCCTCTGCCTCCAGTCCCCAGTTACAACCACTTAGCACGCCCGTGCCCCCACTGTCAGCCAGTCTCCTCTGTGCAGCTCCGGTGGTGGGGTGGTGGGTGGTGGGATTGCTGGGCTGCGCGGGCGGGGGGCGTGGACTCCCACAGGGGACCGGCTGGCTTAGCTTTTCTTTTCCGTGTGGAACCCTGAGCAAGAGAGAGTCTTTCTGGAGATGTTCTGAGCTGAGCCAGGCTTCACATCACCACAGCCTGTTTAAAGGGATGCCTGCAGCTAACACAGAGACACAGCCCATCAGACCCTTAATAAATGTTAAATAAATGCTACAAATGTAACTCCTGGAGGTCTAGGAAGAAGGGCAATAGAACAGCAAATTACTGCCCAGCACTTCCCTTCTCCTGGACTTGAAATGGACAAGCCCAAAAGAAAAAATGTGATTGCGGGTCAGAAGGGCTCTTTCTAAAGGTGTTGGCCGGGTCCTCCCCAGTCATCAAATGTGCAGGCTCACTTCCTGCTGGAGAAGAACACACCAGGCACTATTCACATGGTGGGGAGAAACCAATGTGTCTGTTTCTAACTTTCTGAGGCGACATCATCCATGCCCTCCCACAAAACATCATTTTGGATGCTTTCCAAGCAAAATGCTGGTCTGACCCAGTGTGACAGTCTTATTTTTCCTGGAAAAAAATATTTAAATCAAATTTTGTTAATTTGAACAGTCTCCTTTTATTTATTTTTTTAAGACTTATTTATTTATTTTTTAGAGAGCTGGGAGGGGCGGCACGCAGAGGGAGAGGGAGAGAGAATCTTAAGCAGACTCCCCGCTGAGCATGGAGCCTGACGTGGGCCTCGATCTCACAACCCTAAGAGCATGACCTGAGTCAAAAATCAAGAGTCCGATACTTAACCTGCTACGCCACCCAGGCGCCCCTCTCCTTTTATTGATCTGCATTATAATGTTAAATATGAATGGGTGGACTTTGGCAGACAGCAGGGCTTAACTTTTCAGCATTGTTTGTTTGAAGAGATATCCATGTGTTAAGCAGTTAACCATCTGTATCTATATTAAAGGAAATATTCAAATAAAGCTCTCTCTATCAAAACTTGTGATAAGCAATTGTTTTGAAATTTTAAGATCTCTGTGTTGTTTCTCTTAAAGTGAGGCATATTTTAAAACAAAAAGAATGTGCCAGTTTGTATTAAGAATAAGTTTCGAATTTGTTTTTATCTCTGAGAATAGGTAGGTGTTCTTTTAAAAAAGTACTAACGCTGTTTCATTAACTCGTTCATTCAACCACATGTATTGAGCAGCTGATATATGTTGGGCTAGACACTGTGTCAGGTCAAAGGGGCAATAATAATAAGCAGCAGCAACTAACACAATATGCCAGCTACTCTTTTTCTGAAGTGGTTTACATAGATGAATTCATTTACTTCTCACGATGGCTCTGCAAGCCAGGTGTCGGATTTGCCCATTTCACAGATGAGGAAACTGAATCAGAGAAGTCGTAGAGCTAGGGAAAAAAGCCAACCAGGTAGTGCGGTTCCAGAGCCCATTCTCTAACCTCCTCATCACACCATTAAACCAGATAAGTAAGACAAGTTCTTGGTTCTCTCGGACCTTAAAGAGAACCTGACCTAGTAAGAGAGACTAAAAACAGAAAAAAGACAAGTCACCAACTTACGCAACGTAAATGCTGTACACAGTAAGTGAGAACACAGAAGAGGTGGTGATTCATTTTGCCCAGGGAGTGATTACTCAAGGCTTCATAAAAACTTCAGAACTGGGCATGGAAGAATAGGGTGGCAGTTTGCCAAGCAGACAAGAAGGAAATCCCAAACAGAAGAGTAGTAGAGTAGGCATGTAAGCATCATGAACGTGTGTGTACGCTAGGCTCCGGGAATAGCAAATACTTGGAGCGTGGCTCCAGCAGGGTGCGTGAGCCCTCTGAGAAGGAGGCCAGTTCTTGATGGTGAATGGCTTTTGACTTTGGAGATGCTCACAACGAAGTCCCACGAAAAATCCTCTTCTGTATTTAGAGCCTTGAAAGCAGGCACATTTGACCAGACACCCCCATCCTTCCCCCCCAGGTCCCATAATATCATTAGGTAAGACTGGCTGCAGGGCTATGGTTTAGGCAGGAATTTCTTACTGTCCCTGAGGTTAAGAAAATGGGGTCCAGGCAGCTCCGTCTGCTTTATCTTTTTCTTTAGCTTACAAAGGATGCTGTGTGACCACTGTTACTAGGTCACCCTGAAATTTCAAGCAGTGGAGAAACGTGGCTTTTTCGACTCCCTTGGAATCTATTATATTGGCTCCTGCCAAGAAAGGTGCTTCTTCCCTAGCTCACTTTTACCATACCTGCTGGCATTATGGAAAAATGACCATTTATAGCTCCTGCCGAGAGCTTAAAGGCTCTCCTGATACAAGGAGAGTGAGCCAGGCCTGCAGGCCAAGGGCATGATCTCAAAGCCAGAGGTGCCCTGTTAGTGAGTGTGAGGGATATACAGTGAATTTTTGTATGTACATATCAATATGTAGCTCATTAGAGATGGTCCCATCCCTTGAGTGATTTTTGTAATAACTAAAGGCTTCAACTTTAAAAAGTCTAATTAGAGTCATTTTTACCAGCACAAGCCAAAAGTCCTCAAGTCTGCTTTGGACTTAGAAGCACCCTGACACCTAGTATTTGTTGCTCCTAGATTTGGAACTGAATACCCACAGAGGTATCTCTGACCTAGGGAATTCTCTATCAGATCGGTTTCAGCTTTATGCTGGTAATCTTCAGCCAACTAGGAATTTCATACAAAAGTTAGCATAGCTTTAATGAGAATAAGAACAATGCTTTACTCAGGCCTTTTCACAATCAAATTGGGCATGGAGGAGAAAACAATATCTTCGACAGAAATATACAGAATATATTATATAATATACAGAATATACGGCAGAAGAATCCTCTTCCAGTGGAGACAAGCCCAAGGTCTCAGCCTTCCCATCCCCAACCCCAAACTGACCCACCGCTTTGCCCTTTTGAACGTTTCCTCCAATTTAGGGAATGTTGCATGGACCTCTTGGCCAATATTAGACAAGGCCCTCATCTGGATTAGGTACAGAGAGGGTAGCTGTGTGTTTTAATTTTAGGCTAAAGCCATTCTCTTTTTGAAAAATAAGGGGATATTCATCATTTACTAGTTTATGTAGTCCTGGTTGCTCAACTTTAAAACCTCTCCCTTCTTTCTCCTCCCCAATCACCCACTCCAGACAGGCATTAGGATCATACTCACATGTCTGTACGGCACTCTGAGATCCTTGGCTAGAAGGCCCTGTGTAGAAGAAGCAAAAAATATTTTGTTTTACTGATTGTTCATTAACACATGAACATACATGGAAATGGGAACATACAAAATATTTACCTTGTTTGGTCCTTTTTCTTTTATAGCGTACTATAAGGATTATCACTGATAAAAATAGGAGCGCAAATAAAACCAGTGGGATCAACACCATTAATACAAACTCCAACTGATTTTCATCCTCGTCAATGTCGCTAAAACTTGAATTTGCCATGAATGCTCCCATGGTCACGGCAACAAATGTAGTTTGAGTATGAAAATCTTCATCTCCACTTTCCTCTTCCAGGGGCATTTCTGCTGACTGTTTTGTTTCCTCAGAGAAATCTGTAGGGACACACACAAAATTGAGAGTGCCATGGAGACAAAGCTACTATGTTATGTTTTCAGTGATTTTTAAATATATCCTACATGCATCCAGCGGTAAACTTGATCCACTGCGTTTGGTCTTCCAGTTCAGTGTGACAGAGTATTGATTTAGCGTAAATGGAGCTCAAGCTGGGAATATATTGAACATGGAATCAGAGCCCAGAGAGAAACTTCCCACAAATGCAAGCAGTTTAGCCTTGACCAGATACGTTAGACACACTTACGCGAAGGGCACTGAGAAGCTTTTTTGTGTCAAAAGGGTGATACTCCAGAACATCTCCTATAGGGTATGATGCTATTTTTATGCTATAAATGTAAATTCATATCTACTATAAGTTAACTACTTTCCTCGTAATACTTGGGTATAAAGGAATGCACACTGTCCCAATTTTTTTTTAATTTAATTTATTTATTTATTTATTTGAGAGAGAGAGATTGCGTGTGCCTTCGTGTGAGTGAGGGCAGGAGCCGAGGGGGAGGGGCAGAGGGAGAGAGAGACTCTGAAGCAGGCTACCCGCTGAGCGCAGAGCCCAACATGGGGCTCGATCCCACGACCCTGAGATCATGACCTGAGCCCAAACCAAGAGTCCAAGAGTCCAACGCTTAACCGACTGAGCCACCCAGGCGCCCCGCACTGTCCTAACTTTTAATAAAAGGTTACCTATCAGTGTGGAAGAATTTTTGGAAACTGGGGTGACTGATTAGATTTCAGTGTCAGTTCTCACATTCTGCAGAGAACTGAGTCTCTCTGAGATTATCTGACAGAAATCTTCCTGGGTTCTAAATAAAAACACAGTGCGGATTTCGTTTGTAAGGTGACATTCTCAAGGAGGAAGTTCCCTTAGGGACTAAGTAAACTGCACCAATATTTAAATGTATTTAATAAAAAGCATGTTTAGAACTTCCCCTATTAAGAAGCTATAAACCAGTTTATTCTGTTTGAATTTCAGATTGTGTTGGAAAACCATCCTGGGGCTCATCCCAGGGCAGGAAGGACTATGAGCCTGATGATTATCTGAAAAATCTCCCCTCACCTTGGCTATGTAGTGATCACAGTAAGGTAAGCTGAAGGTTTTCATCCTACCATAGTATAACGTCTGTTGTTCAAATGGGGCCTGCTGAGGAAGACAGCATATGAGTTTAGGCCATAGAAAACTTACCCAATAAATAAGATGACGTATGGGAAAGTCCTTTCTAAAGTGCAAGGTGCTGTGCAAACAGAAAAGTCAGCTGCTTCAAGCCATGCTCTATAACCAGAGGTTAGGTCACCCTTTGGAATGCCAGAGGGGGCCCCTGCAGGGCCCATCCCACACCTTATCCATCTGCGCAACTGAATGACAAGGGATTCCTCTGATTTAATTTATAAAAATATTTGTTTGATCACAGTCTAATTTTTTTTTTTTTGGTTATACAGATGAACATTTCAGTTTCCTCCAAGACCAGGGAATCCACTTGATAATCACATTGGTAAATGTCACCCCAAACCATCAGAATCAGTTATAAACTGCAGAGTCTAACTAACCGGTATTCTTCACGTGTTTATGCCAAAAGCAGGATTTAAGAAAATATCTAGGGCGCCTGGGTGGCTCAGTTGGTTAAGCGACTGCCTTCGGCTCAGGTCATGATCCTGGAGTCCCGGGATTGAGTCCCGCATCGGGCTCCCTGCTCAGCGGGGAGTCTGCTTCTCCCTCTGACCTTCCTCCTTCTCATGCTCTCTGTCTCTCATTCTCTCTCTCTCAAATAAATAAATAAAATCTTTAAAAAAAAATATCTACTATTTATTGACTTCTGTCTGGGTTAAATGGCTTTGTCTTATATTTATGTCTTCGAAATAAGGTAATAAGTTAATAATGATAGCATATGTTAAAAGCTTTGATGCATCATGTATCACCCCGAACCAGGAAAAGCTATTAGTCCACTAGAACAATCTCCTCATTAGAGTCACATTGCTTGCCAAACTACTGAGACCAAATAGCATTCTTCACTGATAGTCCAGCAGGTGACGACGAGACATTTACAGGGGGTGGGGGTGAGTGGCACATATGCAGATGCAATTGGTGGTACTGACCCTATTCCTTGAGGTCCGTGCTTACAGACCTTCCTCGAATCCCCAGACTTGCCTTTTATCTCTTTTGCTTACTTCTACTACAGCTGAGGCTGCTGCCACTATGTCAGGCTAACCTCTATAGAGAATTGACTAAGCCAAGTCCTGTGCTCTGCCTTTTACCCAGATTATCTCATTTTGTCCTTACCATTTTCCCAGATGGAAACTGGGGCAAAGAGGTTACACAACTTGCCCATAGTCACAGAGCAATCATGGAGGAGGATTTGAACCCAAGAGGGCTAGTCGCTGAACCTGAGCTTTGAAGCTCACATGGTATTTTCCTTCCAGTTGGACCAGAATATGATTACCAGTCATCAAGTGGTGAACAAGAGAGGGAACCCCATGTCCTTGCGCCTCTGCCTATAACGAGGTGGCTTTCTGGCATGAAAGAGAAGGGCAGGGGGATGGGTCCCAGAAGCCTTGGCTTTGTGGGTCTCCTGCTAAGCTCCTCAGCCCAGATGTGCTGTGAGCAATGCTGCCCAGAAGAGCAGGATGTGTTCGGCACCTCTCCAAGGAAGGCTTTTTTTTTTTAAGTTTTATTTATTTTATTTTAAAAATTTATTTATTTTAGAGAGAGCAAGAAAAGAGAGAGAGAGCACAAGCGGGAGGAGGGGCAGAGGGAGAGAAAGAGAATCTCAAGCAGATGCACCGCTGAGCACAGAGCCCATTGCAGGGCTTGATCCCACAACCCTGAGATCACGACCTGAGCCAAAACCAGGAGTCAGATGCTCAGCCAGGCACCCCTCCAAGGAAGGCTTTGGGTCACCACTTGACCCATGGCCCCAGAAGAAGAGAAAATAGGAATGGAAATAAGGTAGCAGGAATAAAGAGGGCGTTTGGATAATCAGGAATGAAAGAGAAATGGAAAGAAGCACACCAGATGGTCCCGGGTTGTACATTCATTTTTTAGCATAAGGGGCAGTGCTGGTCACAGGTGGCCTTTAGTGACAATTTGCAGTGAAAAGGGCTGGAATTTCTCTCCCCATATCTCTCTCACATACACCCTAACATACATTTTCCACATTAAGCATCATTTACTCTCTCAGAATCTCTAGTGACTACCTAAATAAATAAGAACCAAGGGGTTGGTCTCTCTCCCTCTCTGTTTTATTTTTCTTTACCCTACAAGCCTTCATCTCCAGATACTTCTATGATAACCTTCCTCCCAGCCCTCTCTGCCCCATCCAACACCATCATAGCCAAAAATAATAAATAACAGTAACTGGCATTTATCAGATGCTTTGTATGCTAGGAACTAGCTAGGATAACAGGCACTACCTAATTTCATCTTCACAACAACTTTATTGTGCACATTTTACAGATGAAGAAACTGAGTCTTGAATGTCTTGTCCTGGGGTACAACCCTGTCATTTATAAGTTCTGCTACATATGATTTGGAAGCCACATTCCCTAGAGTATAAGCACCAAATGACAGCGAAGGTTCTAGTCACAGCTCTGTCACTTCGTAGTAGCGGGAATTTGAACAAATTATTTACCCCTGTGGCTTAATGTCCTAATTTGTACAACTAAGGGGTGATCCCCCAAACCCCATCTACTTCCACATTTCCACACATACGGTGTTTATCTTGTTTTTAATTAGAATTTTTGAATTGGTACTAGACACATGGTACTAAGGTCAGAAAGGAAATGTCACTACACCATGTCCCCCAGTTACTACTGTTCCCTCCCCAGAGGTAGCCGTTGTTTCTGTTGCCTTCCAGAGAAACTCCATGTGTATGTAAGTATCATTTCCCGTTTTCTTTTTTTAACACAAAAGGTAGCAAAATCTATATATGTTCTGTCCCTTGCTTTTTTCACTTAAAAATTGGTTTTCAAGATTATTTCCTGTCTATATACAGAGAGTTGTTTTTTCCCCCTATTATTTGGCTGTATCATAACCTATTCCTATTGACAGAGATTTAGGTTGTTTCTCTTGAGTTTTCAGAGATGCCACAATAAACACCTGCCCATCCTTCAGTTGGCACGTGTGCACATACAGTCTGGTTTTTTTTTT